TATGTGGATGTGAGAGTTGGACTATAAAGGAAGCTGAGCACCGAAGAATTGATGCTTTTGAAGTGTGGTGTTGGAGAAGACTCTTGAGAGTCCCTTGTACTGCAAGGAGATAAAACCAGTCCATCCTAAACAAAATCAGTCCTAAATATTCATTGGAAGGACTGATGTTGAAGCTGCAACTCCAGTACTTTGGCCACCTGATGCAAAGAGCTGACTCATTGGAAAAGACCCTGATGGGGGGAAAGATTGAAGGCAGGAGGAGAAGGGGACGACAGAGGATGAGATAGTGGGATGACATCACCAACTCAATGGACATGAGTTTGAGCAAGCTCCGGGAGTTGGTGATGGACAGGGAAGCCTGGCGTGCTGTAGTCCATGGGGTCACAAAGAGTCGGACATGACTGAGCAACTGAACTGAACTGAGGGAGAACCATTTTGAAGAAAGGCAGATCCCAAAGCAAATACATAGTTTCATTAAAATAGCTTAAGAAAAACATTTCCATAAGAAAAATGCATTGTTTAGCTCAAGGTTTGAGAAAAGTTCCTGCAGAATCAGGTGTCTACAACACAGAATTAAAAGAAACTTCTTTTAATTCTGTGTAGAGAAGGTAAAAATAAGTCTGCCACTTGCAGTTTATTTCCTCCTGCCTCTTAGGGACCTCTGGCCTTCCTACCTGTTACCCTCTCATCCCGTGTGTGTGTATGTGTGTGTGTGTGTGTGAGAGAGAGAGAGAGAGCTTGTGTGATATGTTAATATGCTATAGAACTGTTAGTCCTACTTCTGTCTTACGTACAAAAACAACCCATATTCTTTATTTAGATAGGAAATAAAACTGGTTTAAATTAAAAACTGAAAAATCATTTTCTAGCATGTTGGGGAAAATATCTTTTAAAAATTTGAAATTTCTCTTAAAACAAAATTATGGAAGAAAACCTTCTCAAAATATATCATTAAATGCTCACATAGCATTTAAAAGTTTAGTTCTAGGAATCAGATTTCTATGTCATGTCTTCCTTAATTATATTATGTAGAATATACTCTAATATATACTGTATACATCAGAAATCAGAATTTGTATAGTTTCTGATAGGGTCTGTCTATCCAGGCTGCTTAGTGTTAGATTTAATTATGTATGTACATTTATATTTAGAAACACCATGGAAAATGTTATTTGAATTTTGTTTAAAATAGTAATTCTTAATGTTTTCTGTATCTTGGACCTCTTTGGCAGTCTTAAGCCTGTTTAAACCTAGCAGGCACTCTGATGACTACCATAATTTCAAAGTAGTGTGGAACCTAAAAGATATTATGAGGTATATACAACTGTAATGTGATATGAAAATATCAGTTATTGTTGACAAAATCACAGGTAATTTTTTTTATGTAGTTTCTTTCCTATATCATATTTGGGAAAAACACTCGACTTAATTAGAGGTTAGTGACAATGAAGATGTAATTTTTTCCCCATTGTTCATAGACCCCTGGTCTAAAATTATTTTTTTTAATATTTTTGTTTTTTAATTTTTACAATGTATTGTTGGTTTCTGCCATACAACACAAATCATCCATAATTATACATTCCCCAAACACATTCAAGAAATCCAGATGTAATTCTCTATATTTCAAAAGATTTATTACCCTTTGAGGAAAGTGGAGCTCAGAGTCTTTTCCTTATTGAGCTTTTAACACTTTATAAGCCTTTGAAATAAGCAGGTTGTTAATTGGCAATTGTCAGTGTCTTTTGGATTAAGAACTTGGTTTATTGTCACTAATTTTAAGACAGAATACTGAAGAAAGAGATATTTATAAAAGCCAGTGTAGTCATTTTATCTTGAAGTCAAATCGGAACATATCTGCTGGTAGTAATGAATGCTTTACTTATGTCTTGACTTGTAGCTGCTATGGCTACATATTCTTTGATCATTAAAGAGAAAATGTAATTCATGTCATAGGTCCTGAATCATTCTTCTACTTTATGGAACTAATATTGATTGGCTAAATTTGTGTGATTATTTTTTAATTTACTTTTTATTATAGAAAAATATATACAACACAAAATTTGCCATTGTCCCATTTTAGCCATTTTTTAGTGCAGTGACATTAAATACATTCACAATGTTGTGCAACCATTACCAGTGTTTCCAAAATTTCTCACCACCCCAAACAGAAACTGTGTCTTCTCTGAATTCTCTGACGGTCCTGGTTAGAACTCCATGCTTTCAACTGCTGTAAGTGGGCCTGGGTTTGATCCCTGTTCAGGGAACTAATAAGATCCTACAAGCTGCACTGCATGGCCAAAAAAATTTTTTTAAAAAGAAACTCTGGTGAGAAGGAAATGGCAACCCACTCCAGTATTCTTGCCTGGAGAATCCCATGGACAAAGGAGCCTGGTGGGCTACAGTCCATGGAGTCACAAAGAGTCGGACATGACTGAGTGACTGACACACACACATTATGAAGTGACTGTTACCCAGCTAAGTAAAGTACTTTCTTTTTCTTGTCCCTCAACTCAAAATGCATTTCAGGTGCATTACAGAATTGAAAAAAAATGAGTAATAAGACTAGATGAAAGAACAAGCATTCATCCAGTTCATCTCTGGATGGGAAAGTTCATCAGCATACACCCCAATCCAAAAAATAAAAGATAGAAAAGAATCAAAAAGGAAAAGACTGATAACTTAATTATATTTAAAAGTAATTGAAGTATTTGTACATTAACCACATCATAAACACAATTAAAAGGCAAAGTAAAAGGGTGGTTTAATATTTGCTAGGAATTTGACAAGAAATAATATAAATACTTATATAATTAATTCAAATAAGTCAGTTAAAAAAAAAAACTACTTAAATTTCCCAATGGTGAAATTAGCAAAAGTTATGAATGTAAAAATAAAAACCCATGACAAAATAGGATAGAAAAGACATGTGTTTAATCTGAAAATGTTGGAACTTCTTAGGAATAAGAATGCAAATAAAACTGACAATGAAAGGCCATTTCTTACTTGAGAAATCAACCCAAATTATGAAGGAGACAAAGCTCAAAGTGTTGATTCCTCAGAGCCTTTATTTTCCCTTGAGGTGTTTTCATTTTCTTTGAATAATTCCCCATGTTTATTGAGTTAAATTCATTCCGAATTATCTCCTTTTCTGCTATTAAATTGTAAAGGCTTTCGACTCAGCCAGAGCTAGGTTAAAACCCAGCACTGTAACTTGTGGTGTGAAAAAAAAAAAAAAATATATATATATATATATATATATATATATATATATATATATATATAAATAAAAAGAAACTGGGACTTCCCTGGAGGTCCAGACTCCACGCTCCCACTGAAGGGGACACAGGTTTGATTCCTCGTCGCCCAGTCAGGGAAGCTCCACATGCTGTGCTGTGTTGTCAAAAAGAAAAGAAACTCTGTACTCTGACCTAAATGAAGTGGTAAACTGAGGCAAACTAGAAAAGATGAGTTTATTCAGTAATAGCATAGGAGTTGCAATTTGGGACAAGCAAACTAGTAAGCTATAGATGAGTCTGGTCAAAGTTTAGGAAAAGTTGTATTTATGGGCAGGGAATGTAAAGAGGGGAGAGTTCAGTCTGAGTCAGTTAAAATAAAAGACAAACAGAGATAAGCCTTGAAAACTTTCTGAGAAGACAGAATTAGTCTAGTCACACAAACAAAGTTCTGTTCAGCCCAACTTGGGTCATCTGTTGTTCATGCCTCTGGCAAAACTTTACCAGGGTTGAAATGAGGCCTCTGATCAACCTCCCATCATCTGAGAAAATTTTGTTTCTGTAAGCCAGGCATTTTGGGGAAATCGGCCTCTTAGTCTTTAAGTTTTGTTTTCCTGAGGGCACATGGATGAGTCTTGCCATTTTATATGATCCAGTTCTATTTTAGATTGAAATTCTTTTACAACTTATTAAATAATAACATCCTATTCCCAACTCCACCTCCAGCCCCCAGCTAACCTCTAACATATTTTCTATCTTTGTAAATTTGCCAATTTGCCTTTTCTAGATATTTCATATAAATGGAATCATACAGTATTTGTTCTTCTGCTTCTGGCTTTTTCCCCTTAGTGTAATGTTTTCAGGGTATATGCACGTGTATCAGAACTTGATTCCTTTTTATGACTGAATAATAATATCCCAGTGTGTATATACACAAATCTTCTTTGACATACAGTAGGGTTACATCCCAATAAACCCTTCCTAAATTAAAAATACTGTAACTTGGAGTGCATTTACTATACCTGCCTACCACACATCATAATTTAGCCTAGCCTATCTTAAGCTCAGAATATTTATGCCCACAGATTGGGCAAAATCATCTAGCACAAAGCCTATTTTATAACTGTGTGGAATATCTCATGTAATTTATTGAATACTAAAAGCACTAAAAGTAGAGAACAGATTGTCTGGGTACAGAATTGTTGTTATGGTTGTTTATCCTATTGATTACGTGTCTGGCTGGGAGTTGCTGCATGCTGCCCTGCCCAGCATCACAAGAGAATATTGTACTGCATATCATTAGCCTGAGAAAAGATCAAAATTTGAAATATGGTTTCTACTGAATGCATATTGCTTTTGGACCATCATGAAATCAAAAAATCTTCCGCCTTTGTAAGTCAAGGACCATCTATACCACATTTTGTTTACCCATTCATGTTTGGAGGTAACTTGCATTATTTCCACCCTTGGCTGTTGTGGATAACACTGCTGTAAACATTGTTCTACAAGTATCTGAGTCCCTGTTTGCAGTTCGTTTGTGTACGTACCATGAGTCACATGGCAAATCTGTTTAACTCTTTAAGGAAGCTGTGGGATTATTTTTTATAATAGTCATATTTTTATTATCCTTTCATTACTGTTTCTTGAGCATTATTATTATTTTTTTTGTTTTGCTTATTTCCTTGGTTGACTTTTGTTGCTGATTTTTAAGAAATTATTTGTTTTGTTCATTCATTTTTCTTTTCTTTTCAATTGTTTGTTTTTCAGACCCGAGTCAGAACTCCATCACAGGGGAACACAGCCAGCTGTTAGGTACAGTATTTCTATGGGGACTCACTCTCTCTAAAGTCATCCTTTTCCTGCTTATACTAAGAGATATTATTCCCTTCTCTAATTCTATTTTCTGTACCCCTTTTCCACTTTTCAATCCTCAGCTTCTTTTCCTGCAGTTTCTATTCCCAACTTGGTAAGTTTTAGGAATCTATTCTGTAGTTGACTGTTAAGACTCAATTTAGTTACATTAAAAAGTAATTTTACATGGTCTGTGGTTTTAAAAAAGGTCTGTAAGAGTTAGAGCTTCTTTTTTCCAAGATAATTTTGAAAAGAAGTTACAATATTCTGTAATATCTTGTGATCACCTTCATTTTAATTCTCAAAAGTACTTCATGAACAGCACAGCCTTCATTCAGTGAGCCAAAGAAATTGATGTTCAAATTCCTTATCTGTGAAATAAGCTATGGAAATGAATTGATTTCTTTTAGGTATCACTTACTTAAATTGCAGTAAACTTGTAATTTTATAAGAAATTACATCTCAAAACTGAGGAATTTTTCAAATATAAAAACATACTCTGGAATGAAAGGAATTAAAATAATATAAAAAGTAAATATATATATATATATGTGTGTGTGTGTGTGTGTGTATAAAATGCAGACGTCCTGTAAAGTATCCCACCTCACCTCTGCTCCCCCAAGGTAAACTTGCTATAGATACTTTATTGTGAATTCTTACAGAAGTTTTTAATTACACATTTTCTCTTGCTTTTTAATTTATCATTTATTTATTTTAGCCTCATGGTGTGCAGCATCTTGGTTCCCTGACCAGGGATCAAACCTGGGCCCCCTGCATTAGAAACAGGGAATCCTAACCTCTGGACTGCCAGGGAAGTCTCAGTTACACATTATATTAAATATTTTTGTTGTTGTTGTTCAGTCGTGTCCGACTCTCTGTGACCCCAGGGACTGCAGCATGCCAGGCTTCCCTATCCTTCGCCATCTCCCGGAGCTTGCTCAAACTCATGTCCATTGAGTCGGTGATGCCATCCAACCATCTCATCCTCTGTCGTCCCCTTCTTTTCCTATGACTATGTCTTTTCCTTTTTCTGTCAGTGGAGTTTTACTGTACAGATATACTGTATAGATCTGTGTAGATGTATCTATACAGATGTATATTTATCTCTTTGTATGCTTAAATATACTGGCAATGAGAGTGCAAGTATATATGAACAAGATGTTCATTGCAATATAGCAGTAAACACCTGGAAATAACATAAATACTCATAAATAAAGTTATAGTATACACATAAATAAAATGCTTTTCTACTACAAACAGAAGAGGCAGATCTTTATGTACTAAGCTGTCCAAGATAAAATATTACGTGAAAAACAGGAAATCACAGAACGATCCGTATCATGTAACTCCACTGATAGAAAAAGGAAAAAAGATAATCATAGTATTTAATATAAAAATGTGTAATTGATACTTCCCTGGCAGTCCAGTGGTTAGGATTCTCTGCTTCTATTGCAGGGAGCACGGGTTTGATCCCTGGTCAGATAAATTCCTTAATTCCCAACAGTGGGTCAAAAGGTACATATATTTTCAAGAAGATACATCAACTTAAACCCACCGATAAAAGAGTATGGACACACACAAAAAAAGAGTATGGACACATACTAAGCTCCTTATCATCAAAAGTAGGTGTTATCAATATTAACATTTTTTCTTTAGTAGGTGAAATGGCACCTCTAGTTTTTATTTGCACCTCTTTAATTATGTGAATTAAGTACTTTTAAATATATACTTTAAATAGATAAAGTGTAAAAAGTACTTGTAAATATGTAGCCTTGTGGTATTAGGGCTGTCACTATTCTCTTTTTTATACTTTTATTTAAACTGTTCAAAATTTGTCTTCTTAGTATAAAAATTTCATATTTGAACCAGGAATGATTAAGGTTTCATAGAAAATTTTGGTAGATCATGAGTACAGTTCCCCTAAACTGTTAAATTGCTCTGTCTCTGATACCTGCCTGACAGGTAGAGGCGTTTGAAGAGTGGTTCATCATCTGAGCAGAAACACACATGTGTAATGGAGATAGAGGAGGACTTAGCTAATGAAATGAACAGTCAAGGGAGTTGGTACCATTCCAGTGATACTAAGCTGGGTTTTGTTTCCAAGTAAGCACTTTGTAGTAAAAGATAGTAGATAAATTAGTTATAGGTGAAAAGAAATAGTATGCGATCATAAAGAGTTCCCTCAGTATTATCTAAAACCCCTAAGATTTGCAAAGAGGCTGCTCCAGACATTAATCTCATTTGGCAACCTACAGTTGCATTCACTTTTAAATAAACCTGGGAATTTATCCAGTTTAGGTTAAATTCATCCTTCTACCCTGGGTTCTTTCTCCTAGGTTCATTAGGTCAGATTATATTCTCCTTTTTTCTCATGCTATTGGTATAGTCATCCTCTGTCTCCTGTTCTAAGTATGTTTAGCTACAACCTCAAAGTCTGTACTGGTTTATTTTTATTTATTTATTATTGGCCATGCCGACGGCTTGTGAAATCCCAACGAGGAGTTGAACCCACAGCTTCAGCAGTGAAAGAGCAGAGTTCTAACCACTGGACCTCCAGGATATTCTCCTTACTGGTTTATTTTTTTATTTTTGGAGTTGCAAAAGAGTGAAAGACAATTTATTGTTATATCTTCTAATCATCTTATAATTCCTCAGAAAAGGCATTGGTAGCTTGAATTAAAATCTTGCCAGATTCTATAAAAAATCTCACTTAGGATAATTTGTCCCAGTAGGTGAAAAACTGCTTCAGTTGCCTTGCCTGCTGAATGGAGTTTATAATAGGATCTTTCAAATCTTCTAAATGCTTTCCTTTCAACAGGGTAAAGTTATTTTAATGTATCTACTGTTTCCACTGACTCATCAGATCTCTTGCAAAACACAGGGTCAGGTTGACGAGATGAACAGAAGGGTGAAACTGCAGTTGTGATAAAGAATTAAGTGTATGATACTTACAATTCATGAATTTTTATGTGTGTGTCATTTTCCATTTAAAACATTTTAGAAAGCAAGCAAGCAAATGAACAGTGGGCCCTGGTGTTCTTCCAGTTTTTATCAAACATTCAAAGCAAAATAATTTCTCTTCTACAGTTTCTCTCAAGGAACAGAAAAGCAAGTAGACACTTCTCTGCTCAGTTTGAGACTAGCATAAACTAATACCAAAACTTAACAATGACAATGTGAGAACAGTATAGACCAATTTTACTTCTGAACATCCTAAATGAAATATTAGCAGTCTGAATCAGGCAATATACACTTGACCCTTACAATTTGGGTTTGAACTGCACTGGTCCTCTTAAACATGGATATTTTTCAATAGTAAATACTACAGTACTGCTTAGGTTGTGGCTGGTTGAATCTGCAAATGCAGAGGAGGAACCTCAGATATGAAGAGTCAACTATAGTTATATTTTGAGTAACCCCCAGCATTATTCAGGGGTCACCTGTATTTTTAAAAATTACTAAAAAAAAAATTACAAAAAATTACTTTCTGGTAAAGATACATGGTTGGTTTATCATTAAAAATCAATTTATATAATTTAGTATATTAAACATATTAAAGGAAAAACATAAAATCACCTTAGTAGATTGCAGGAAAAAGATTTTATTGGAAACATATTCAGTATTTAAATTCATGAGCTCATAAAAAACTGGTCACCATTGAAGAAATCTAGTGAATCAATTCATTCTGAGAATTGGTCTAAAAGAAAAGAATGAAGTATTTATCTTGTTTTTAACTATACCAGTGGGTAACCGAATAGTAAATTACAGGGAATGTCTGTTTATAAAAGTATTTCAGCTAATAAACTAAGGAAAAATAACATAATATCACCATTTTTGTAGCCTCTCATGGATTAATGAAGCTAGGCATTCATCATCAACATTTGCTAGTATCTGAAAAAGAAAGCAACTAGATGACCCATACCTCCAGATGGATGATCAAAATATCCTTATGAGAGTATTTTCCTCCCTCCCCCATAAAAATGCTGAATGTGGTTAAGCTTCTAGACCCAATTACCAATATATAGGAAATAGAAGAAAACAGAGCAACATGTTAAACAACATCACATGGATGCTTATCAAAATCCAGATCATCAGAAACTTTACTGAACACATGACATAGGTTCTTCAATAAGTGAACTGCGAAGGAAAAGAGAGAAAGACAGTAGACTTAAGAGATAAGCAACCAGTTGTAACCTGTGCCTCTTATTCGGCTGTTGATTCAGACTTTCTTCTTGGAGTAGGAAGTGGCCACCCACTCCAGTATTCGTGCCTGGAAAATTCCATGGACAGAGGAGCCTGGTGGGGTACAGTCCATGGGGTCACAAAGAGTTGGACACAAATGAGCACACATACACACATCAAACTAAAAATCAAAAACATAATTTATAACATTTGAGACAACCTTTTGTGTTCACTTAGTCATATAGTTCAGACCCAAACCTGTGCCAAGGGAGATTAAGTATACTTACTGCTCTTGTTCTGCCTTACTCAGACCAACAAAGGCCATTAGACAAGCTCAGGAGTCTAAGGGAGGAACCTGATGTTTATCTTACATCTAAGTTGAAGTGTAAGTGATAATTGAACCAAAAAAAAGCAACATAGAAATAATCGCACCACAACAATAAAATGCTTATAAAAAGCAAGAATTTGGCATACTCTTTCTGCCTACAAAACAGTATGCCATAACAAATGGAAATCTGATATTTTCAGTAGAACCAGTGGCACTCCTATCAGTTTTCATTTGAATGTTCGATGAAACAGCAGTGTTTTTCAATAATATCAGCATTATATGGTTGGTAAAATGAGAATAAAGAAACATAATAGTGATCTGATGGGCTGTTTAATTCAAAGCATTACTGAGGCCAGTCTCGCTAGGTATCCTTCAAAGGCATCTTAGGATTCTACATAATTCTAAAGAAGTCCTAAGAGGGATATGAGTTTGTTTTTTTTTAGTTCTTGCA